ATGTTGCTAACATCCAGCAGACCAATAGAAATGCATCTTCGCTCCTCGCTCCAGAGGAAACCCCACCCAAAAGTGAAGAGACACTGATCTGGATAAGACAATTTGAAAATAATTATAAATTAAATCCCAAAAAACAGAAATAATAAAAAAAAAATAGTAATAATTTTATATGAAATCTGTAAAATGAAAAATTCAATTAAAAAAATAAAATTTTTTAATACAAAATCTAAGAAAATATTTTTTTTCTGGATTGCATTTTTTTTTTTTATCCATTTATCAAAGTTAAAAAAGTATTTTGTTAACAACAATAATGGAACAAACTTCCCTCCATAACTATCAGGGAAAAACAAACAGATTTCATTCAATAATCACTGCTAATGATGAATTCTAATGATCCGGGAACATTCATATAACTCAGCAGATGGACTGACCGGACTGTTTGGAATCAACAAAATCAGAGAAAAACAGTGAGGGGCTGATGTCTCCGTAGGTTAATGATTGGCTGAGGTGTGTCTGATGCCCTGATAGCACTGTTGCCATGGTTACTTGAACCATAGAACTCTTTTTTTCTAGCTTATTGAAATCTAGATAAGTATTTTCTTCTTAAATTAAGAGCATTTGTTCTTGAATTTAGGAGGTAAGTGAGACATCTTGCCAATCGAAGAAGACAATTTACATTTAAAATAAGAAAAAACAATTGCATTGTCTTATTTCAAGTGCATTTTTATCTAATTATCTTATTTTAAGAGTAAAAATACTAATTTTCATTGGCAGATCATCTTAGTTACCTACTCAAATTAAGGGTAAATACACTTTATTTAAGACATTTGTACTTATTTCTAGATTGTTTTTGCAGTGTAAAAGGAGTGCTGACCAAACTTTACAAATCTGATTTTTTTCTTTGTTATTGCAAACTTTATATTCTTAGTTGAAGGTAAAAAAAATATATTTTTCTTAAATAATCTCTCCACAGAGAGGAAGTACAAGAATAAAAGGATTCATTTTAGTGAGGTAAAAAAATATATATA